GGTCAAGAATTCGGGACCAACCTGATTAACGTGGTGAAACCACATCTCTACTAAAAATACAAAAAAATTAGCCAGGCATGGTGGCGCATGCCTGTAGTCCCAGTTACGTGGGAGGCTGAGTCAGGAGAATAGCTTGAACCCATGAGGCAGAGATTGCAGTGAGCCAAGATCGCGTGCCACTGTACTTCAGCCTGGGCAACACAGCAAGACTCCATCTCAAAGACAGAGAGAGAGAGAGCTCCATGTATATTTCCACTTGGGAGCATCATCTCCCCAAAGGCCACTTTGAGGTGAAATGGCTGTCTTACATACTCTGCATCAATTTGGTCCTAAAATCAGGAGACATTCACCCTTCTCCACCCCAATTTCCAATATTCCCTCCTTTGTAGAAAGAGCACTCTGGAAGCTGCTGAGCCCCACAGCCCTAGAGCCTAGACCACTCTTCCAAAAGGGAAGACTCTTCCATCACTTTGACAGACACCCAGGCTAGAGTCCTCAGATTGAACTCAAAGCTCTAACTGCAACCTCTTTTTCCAGTGCAAGCCCTTCTACTCACTAAAAATTACTCTCTCTCCACTCAGACTAGCCTGTTTGCCCTTCCCTGAATGGGGTTTGTGTTTTCCCATCAGCTCAACTTTGCTCACACGCCCAGCTCAAAACCACCTTCCCACAGGCCAGACAACTGCTCAGTTCTTCCCACAGCCAGATGAGCGCTCTCCCTCCTGAGAGCCTGCTTAGCCCTACTGGACGCTGTCTTGTTGCACTTATCGTCTGCTGCCTTATATTGAAGGCTTTCATATGCCTCTCCTGCCTCCACCCCCTGCCCTTCTAAACTTCACACTCCTTGGCAGCACAGACTGGTGCACTGTTTCCACATCCCTCACGCTATCCACTCAGCACTTGGCAAACATTAGCTAACCGCAAGAATGCATCCTCAGGTTTGTAAGTCAGACCAGGGCTTCATAGCAGTTCTGTTGACATTGGGGCTGAACAGTTCCTTGTGGTGGGGGCTGTTCTGTGCATTGTGAGACGTTCAGCAGCATCCACGTGGCCTCTTTCCACTAGATGCCAATAGCAGCCTTCCCTCTCTCCCGTCCCCACCCCGGTATGAAAACCAAAAATATCTCCAAACATTGCCAAATGTCCCCTGCGGGGAAACCACCCTCTGTCGACAACCACTACTCTATACCAACAGTTCTCCACCTGGCCACACATTCAGACTCACCTGAACACTTACAATCAGCCTGGAAGTCAGGGGGACCTAGATCCAAATCCTGGCCCTGTCATTCCCTTTGCAACCCTGGACAAGTCGCTTCACTTTTTTCATCCTGTTTTATCGTCTTAAGATGAATAAATGCCCCTTCTCACACCGACTTGTTGTGAAGATTAAATGATCCTCAGCGTGACCTAGAAAGGGTTTAATAAATAAACTGTGTAGAATTTCTAAGTCGCTCCTAAAGCACCAGGGAGAGGAACTGGGGAAAGCTCACTGTGCCGTCAGGGGGCGCCATCACAAACCATGTCAGTGGGCGGCGGCCAGGCTCAAGCCTTGTTTCCCAGCCAAGCAAAGTTTGCAATGCAGGCCTGAGTCTGAGCTACTCAGTGGCTGGAGGAAATAATAGCTCCTCCTCATCCCCGACAATAATTCTGAAAATAAAATCGAATCCTATTTTATCTTTTCATGACATATATGCTCAATATGCTTTTCAAAGGGGAGAGGGAAAAAAAGAAATGGGTGAAAATATATGAGGATATTATGAAATAAATCGTATTTTATATGATTTATAATAGATGACTCATTACTTATAATATTACTTGTTAATCATAAAATTACTTATAATAATAGCTGACATGTTTTAAGAACTCTTGTGTCTCAGGCATTATTCTAAGCACTTCACATTTATCTCATCTTATCCTCACAAAAATCTCATGCATTTTACATTTTTTTAGTTTTCATTTTTCAGATGTTCAAAAATACTGTAAAAACAGAGTTTCAGTATATCCTTCATCCAGCTTTTTCAAATAACCTGAACTCTAATACAATTATCAAAATCAGTCAACTAGCATTGATACAATAAATTTAAAAATACAGAAATATGGGGCCAGGCGCGGTGGCTTATGCCTTTAATCTAGCACTTTGGGAGGCTAAAGCAGGCGGATCACAAGGTGAGGAGATCGAGACCATCCTGGCTAACACGATGAAACCCCGTCTCTACTAAAAATACAAAAAAATCATCTGGGCGTGGTGGCGGGCACCTGTAGACCCAGCTACTCGGGAGACTGAGGCAGGAGAATGGCATGAACCCGGGAGGCGGAGCTTGCAGTGAGCGGAGATCACGCCACTGCACTCCAGCCTGGGCGACAAAGCGAGACTCTGTCTCAAAAAAAAAAAAACACACATATTTATACATACATATGTGTGTGTGTGTGTGTGTGTGTGTGTGTGTGTGTGTATATATATATATAGAGACAGAGAGAGTAATATTAAAATTTTGGACTGGGCATGGTGGCTCACGCCTGTAATCCCAGTACTTTGGGAGGCCCAGGCAGGCAGATCACCTGAGGTCAGGAGTTGGAGATCAGTCTGGCCAACATGATGAAACCCCATCTCTACTAAAAATACAAAAATTAGCCAGGCGTGGTGGTGAGGACCTGTAATCCCAGCTACTCGGGAGGCTGAGGCAGGAGAATCGCTTGAACACGGGAGGCAGGGGTTGTAGTGAGAGTGAGACTCTGTCTCCAAAAAAATAAATAAATAAAATAAAATAAAATTTTGCTAATCTTCCTAGTCCTGTCCTTTTTCTGCTCCAGAGTCCAACCCTGGATCCCACACTGAGTAACATTATCACATCTCCCAGGTCCCTCCAGCCTCGGGGAGGTTCCCACTCTTTCCCTCTCTCAGGACCTTGACGCTTTTAAGGAGGTCTGGTCCGTTGTTTCATAGAATGCCCCTCAATTTGTGTTTGTCTCATGTTCCCTTGGGATGTTTCAGGTTGTGTATTTTGCGCAAGATTAGCACAGAAGTGATGTGTCTTTCTCAGGACATCCCAGCCAGAGCCCCAGGATGTCGGTATCTCTCATTACTGATGGGGTTCACTTTAAGCCCTTGGTTCAGGTGGTGTCTGCCAGGTTTCTCTACTGTAAAGTTACTATTCATCTCATTGTAATTAATAAGCATCTTGTGGACAGATACTTTGGAAATACAGAAACAACCTGTTTGTTCTCAGCATACTTTTACCAATTAATTTCTAAACTCCAGAGATAATTGTAGCCGATAAACAATTCTTACTGTGATGTTAGCCAAACAGTGATTTTCTATTTCCATCATTGCTTCCACATTGATTAACTGGAAAGCTGCTGTAAGAAAGAGCTATTTTTTCTTTCTCATTTATGTATGTATTCACTTATTTATATATATCAGCATGGACTCTCAAGTATTTATTGGTTGGACTACATTACTATTATTATTGATTATATTGCTGTATTGTCCCCAAATTGGCCATTGGGAGCTTCTTCTAGTTGGCATTTGTGATATTTTCCACACATCCCCATCATTTTTCAAGCTGTGCCTTACTCTCAGGCCCCGCAAGATGCTCCAGTCTCCTCTTGTGCTTTCCTGTCCTAGCCCTGGAATCGGCCATTTCTCTGGGGAACCCTGGTTCCTTTCATGGGAGAATGATGTTTACAGACCATAGGCACCTATATGCCCATTGCTAGCAGGTGCCAGTGCTTCTATGCCCTCTAGTGGTCAGAGCTGGGAAATAACACACACACTAGTGTATTGTTACCCACATTTCACAAATTAGGTAAATGAGGCAAAAGAAAACTTAGGCAACTTGACTAACATCACAGAGAAAATAGGTAGCGGAACTGGGAAATGAAAATAATGACAGATGCACCACAAATCCTAACAAGCAAAAGTAGCTTTTTCACACATCCACATCAGCAGAAAGCCACAAGCCCAATATTCCAGCGTAGACACTCTCTTTGAAAACTAGAATTCCACAGCAATAACCACAATGATAACCATCATGTACTCAACAACCACCTGGGCACTGGGCTCCCACAGCAGCTCACTTATTCCCAACAACTTTGCAAGGAGGATTTTACCATCCTCCTTTTACAAATCAGGGAATCGAGGATCATAGAAGCCAAATGACTTGTCCAAGTCGACATAGTTAAGTGACAGAACCATGAGCTGTCCCCAGGTACATCTAGACATGAAGTCCATGCTTATGCCACTGTGTCAGCATTTCCAAAAACTGATTTTAGGGGAAATGTAAGTAAGCTTTTTAAAGCCTTTAACACTTATGTGCTTATTTTAATACACGTTGAGAAAAAAATTAAGCACAGATCAAATCTGTAATTTCATGGACAATATTGCATAAGACAAGGATGTTTTGTCTCCAACTCCTGGCCTCAAGCCATCCTTCCACCTTAGCCTCTTGAGTAGCTGCGATCACAGATCTGAGTCACCGATCCCTACTAGGACAGGAGGTTTTGTAAACTAAATGTATTTAGAAAAAATGATGAAATATATAATAATAAAGGTGGTACAAGCTGGAGAGAAAATCATAAAGTCAGCCTAGAAATGTCTGGTGTGTGGATGACATAAAGCTACAGCACCGTGCAGCTTCATTCTCGGTTACTCCAAAGAAATTAGAGTCACATAGCTCTGCAGAAAGAACAACTCAGAATCTTAGACTCGGACTTTAGCCCTGGATGTGTCCATTTCTAGGACCCCGGACGTCTCTGTGACCTCCTTGCTGGGAGTAAATCCAATCTTCCCAGACATGTGAGAAGACCCTACACACACAAAGGGGTTTCTCTGTCACTGAGAAAATAACACCACGTTCAGGGACCCCCCAGGGACTCTCCATGGTGCTGACAGACCCACAGTCAAGGCATAGCAGAGATCCACGCTGGGGAGGGAGGATTGTCCTGTTACGAGACAGGGGTCCAAATAAGCCTTGCTTCTCAGAGCCTGGTCTGGGGAACTCAAATGTAGACAGAAGGGAAAAAGGAAGAACAGAAAAGGAGGCAAAACTGAGAGGGGAGGGGACAGAGAAATGACCGGGGCAGAGCTTCACCCATGACCCTGGAAAGTGATCCTGCCCTGGGAGGAAGCTCAGCACAGAAAGAGGAAGGAAAGCAGAGCCTACAGTCACAGCAGCCCTGACGGAGCATTCCTGGAGCCCAGGCTCTTTTCCACAGAGGAGGAAAGAGCAGGCAACAAAGACCATGGGGCCCCCCTTGGCTCCTCCCCACAGAGAACGCATCCCCTGGCAGGGGCTTCTGCTCGCAGGTGAGTGGAGGATTCCTGGGAGTGGGCAGGAGGAGGGATCACAGAGAATGGCTGGGGTCTCCTGGGGAGGACGAGGCTCTGAAAGGGGACAGAGGACTTCTGCTGGAGCCTCAGGGGAGAGAACATCAGAGAGGGACACGGGTCACAACAAGACAATCACATTGAACTGGGATTAATAAGACGGAGGAAAATCAGTTCATCGTGTTTTCCAAGTTAATCATTACTGGTCACTACAAGTAGAAAATGATAAGAATAAGAATTAATCAGGGTGACACTTTAAATAAAAATATAACCAGGGCACTAAACCCTGCCCTTGACCACCAACCACAAGTTGCAAAATAACCACCACTCATTAACTCATCTACGAGTATTTGCAATCAAATTTTAGGCACTGGCATGCAACAAATATCAGACAAGTCTCTGTGTTCAAAGAGCTCACACTCTCACGAGGATGAAGACAGACACCCAAAGAGATCTGGAATGTGAGGTCAGGTGTTGACAAGAGCCCCAGAGGGAACAGAGCAGAAAAAGGTCAGAAAGGGAAGACCCAGGGTCTCAAGAGGAGGTGTCAGGGGAGGGGTCTCCCTAAGATGCCCTGATGTGAGCAGGACCTGAGGCCAGCGGGGAGGGAGCCGTGCAGACACCTGGGGAAGGGGATTCCAAACAGGAAAATGCCAAGGTCAGAGGTGCTGAAGGAAGAAAAGTCACACTACCGACCTTGACCAAGTGGACACACACACACACTCTCCAAGGCTGAGGGGTGAAGAGACTCTCTCAGGACCCAGGGCCCCATCTTTCCACCCCAATACGTAGGTCCTAATACTGACCAAGGCTTTCTCCCTCCTAGCCTCACTTCTAACCTTCTGGAACCCGCCCACCACTGCCCAGCTCACTGTTGAATCCAGGCCGTTCAATGTCGCAGAGGGGAAGGAGGTTCTTCTACTTGCCCACAATCTGTCCCAGAATCTTGTTGGCTACATCTGGCACAAAGGAGAAAGAGTGGATGCCAACTGTCGAATTGGATCACATGTAATAGGAACTCATCAAACTACCCCAGGGCCCGCACACAGCGGTCGAGAGACAATAGACTCCAATGCATCCCTGCTGATCCAGAACGTCACCCAGAATGACACAGGATCCTACACCCTACAAGTCATAAAGGAAGATCTTGTGACTGAAGAAGCAACTGGCCAGTTCCGGGTATATCGTGAGTGATTCCCCATGACCTCTGGGTGTTGGGGTCAGTTCTACTTCCCACATACGGGATTGTCAGGCCTGGGCTGTGCCTGTGTCCCCTCTGCATTACATCCTGTGTTGGGGTTTGGGCATTTAGTGCAGGACACACACAGGGGAGATAAACTTCAACAGATCAGAATTCTTTTCCTGCATCCAGACCCTGCAGACACTCAGGGCAGAAGAAGGACAGTCTGATGGGGGCACTCAGCAGGGGGAGGTCAGTGTCAGCCTAGCACCCCGTGCCCTCTCCATGGACCTGACCCTAGGAAAGACCCTGGAGAACTGGGTCAGGGCCTGGCCTACGGGGTCCCCTAGGATCGTCACAGAGAAGCTCAGCTCTTCCCAGAGCTGAGCCCCTGTGCAAATCCCTGTCCCAGATTCCTGACTCCAGGTGACCCTGGGGACCCTAGGGATCCTGTGCCAGGGCTGGGTGAGACCTCCTGGGCAGGGCTGACTGGGAGCAAGATTTTACCAGCTGTCTGAGGGTTGTGGCTCCTGGAGTTGGTCACCAGCCAGGGTCCAGCCCCAGGAATCTCTTCTGGGCAAGGACAGGGCCTCCTCCTTCACCTTAGACTCAGCATGGAGTGAACAGACGGACGAGATGACTAGGGCATGAGCCCACTGCCCAGGGGAACTTAGATGACTCCATGGGAAGTTCAATATCCCCAGGGGGAGAAAAAGAAGAGAGAAGATGCTCCCGGCGGCTCCTTTTCCACAAGGGATCAGGCCCAGGGACCTCTCTTTTGGAGGCAAATAAGCACAGATGCTGTTCATTTGGGCAGCTCCTCTATACACAGCTGAGGTCAAGTAATTCTAAATATTTTGAGATTAATTCACAAACAACCTCACAGTCAAATAGCACTTATCCTACTTATTGAAAAAAAATTGAGGAACAGGGAGACACAGCCACCGACTAGGGTCACACAAGTCATAGGTGTCAGATTAGAGTCATACGAGGTCTCTCTGCAGCTACAGCTGCCTCTTCTCCACCAGGGGATGGCTGGGGCTATCGTTAGACATCTGCAGACCTGAGACCTGTCGTAAGTCCTCTTTCTTTTTTCTTGGGCATCCACAACTCAGAAGGGGAGATTTTGGTCTGGAGAGTGAGGGGCAAGTGGAAAATTAATCAATTTTTCCAGATATAGTTTGGATGTTTATCCCCTCCAAATCTCACATTGAAATGTGATCCCCAACATTGGAGGTGAGGATGTTTATCTCCTCCAAATCTCACGTTGAAATGTGATCCCCAACGTTGGAGGTGAAGATGTTTATCTCCTCCAAGTCTCATGTTGAAATGTGATTGCCAGAGTTGGAGGTGAGGATGTTTATCTCCTCCAAGTCTCATGTTGAAATGTGATCCCCAACGTTGGAGGTGAGGCCTGGTGGGAGGCGCTCAGATCATGGGGGCTGTTTCTCACCATCCCCTTGGTGACAAGTCAGTTCTCACTCTGAGTTCACAGATCTGGTTCTTTAAAAGTGTGTGGCACCTCCACACTCTCTCTTGCTCCTGCTTTTGCCACATGACACCACCTGCTCACCCTCCTCCTTCCAGCATGATTGTAAGCTTGCTGGGCCTCACCAGAAGCCAAGCAGATGCTGGTGCCATGCCTGTACAGCCTGCAGATCCCTGCCCCAATTAAATCTCTTTTCCTTATAAATTACCCAGCCTCGGACATTTCCTTATAGTAACGAAAAGTAGCCTAACACATTAGCCTAACCTGGAACTAAATCCCTTGTGTCAACAGAGTCAGTGCCAGGAATGTCCGGGCCTCCCTCTCAGATGCGCACCACTGCCCTCACTCGACCCGAAATCCTGTGTTTCCTGGTGTGTCAGTGTCACCCCTACGAGAGGATAAAGAAACAACCTTGCTTTCACTCCCCACTCACACCCTGCACCAGCGCAGGGCCCAGTGAGAGACACACACTCAGTAGTTCTCTGATGAAGGAGGGAAGGAATGAATGATGAATAATTCATAAACTCTTCAGAGACCGGATCTTGGATGCAGAATCCTAGAAGGTTCTGGCCACACCTGTTTCCTGTCCCTCCAGGGGCCAGGATCCTTGTTGCATTCCTTTAACCCCTGCCCCTAAAGCTACCCCAAGAACCACATCTCATGGGACTCTGGCACAGCTCATCTGTGGGAAGGTTTTCAGGGCTCCCTGGTCCTGGTTCCAGAATAACCAGGGGTCTCCTGGCCCCTGGGGTCCATGAGGTCACTGTAGTCCCCACAGCTCACTGCCATGTAATCTCTGACTATCTCTGTTCCCCCTTGTCCCTTATCCTCATCCCCCTTCACAACAGTGAGGATACCCCTGCCCTGCACAGCTTCCTCCACCATTAGGTATTCCCCAGTAACTCCCTCTAACAAGACTGGCTGTTCTGTTCCCTTCCCACTCACACTGTGGCCTGGCCCAACTCCGGGACAATAAAAAAAAAAAAAAGGCACAGAAATCAGCTGGATCAGAGCCCCTGCCAGGCTTCATCATGAGTCAGTGTCCCCAGGTCACAAGGAGAACGAGCTTCCACTGTGTCCCCACCCAGGGCTCTTTCCCTCCATGAGGCCAACACGTGGGACAGGCCACAGGACAGGGACGAGTGATTCCTCCACCTACTCTTGTAATTGCCCAGCAGGTTCTTCCTGCCACTGCACAGACAAAACCAATTCACCAAGACCACGATATTGCAGTCAAGATAGAGTTTAATTAATGCTAAGTGAGCCGAACAGCAAGACAGGAGTTTTTTTATTACTTAAAACAGCCTCCCTGGAGGCTTGAGGTTAGAGTTTTTCATGGATAGTCTGATGGCAGGGGACTAGGGAATGGGGAATGCTGATTGGTTGGGGATAAAATCATAGGGATGTGGCAACTGATCCTGGTGTGCTGAAATCATCTCTAAGTGGGGACCACAAGACCACTGAATCATGGGTCTTGGTCCAGTTGGAGTCAGTCAGTTGCCAGAATGCAAAAGCCTGAGAAACATCTCAAAAGACCAATCTCAGGTTCTACAATAGTGATGTTATCTATGGGAACAATTAGGGAAGTCACAAATCTTGTGACTTCTGGACACATGCGTCCTGAGAAGTCAGGGACTGCAGAAACTATGCCTACAGTTTAGCACAATTCGGGCCCCTCCCATAATGCTAATCTCATAATGTTTCATTAGTTTTACAAAGGCAATCCCTGACAAAGAGGGAGTTAGTTTTAGGGAGGGACTATAATCATCCTTGCTTCAAAGTTTCACCGTGTTAGCCAGGATGGTCTCGATCTCCTAACCTCATGATCCACCCACCTTGGCCTCCCAAAGTGCTGGGGTTACAGGCATGAGCCAGCACGCCCAGCCTGAAACAGCAAAGTTTTAAAAGAGTGGTAAAAGGCCGGGCGTAGTGGCTCATGCCTGTAATCCCTGCACTTTGGGAGGCTGAGGTGGGTGGATCACCTGAGGTCGGAAGTTTGAGACCAGCCTGGCCAACATGATGATATCCCGTCTCTACAAAAAATACAAAAAATTAGCCGGGCATGATGGCAGGCGCATGTAATCCCAGCTACTCAGGAGGCTGAGGCAGGAGAATCACTTGAAACCAGGAGATAGAGGTTGCAGTGAGCCAAGATCATGCGATTTCACTCCAGCCTAGGCAGCAAGAGCAAAACTGTCTCCAAAAAAAAAAAAAAAAAAGAGTGCGGCAAAAAAGTGGAACAGCATATTCAACTTCACATTCAATATTTTGTATTGACAATGGCATATTTTATATTTTGTAGCTGTGGGACAACTACAAAGGCTGTAACATACATGTAATGGGATACTGGTGGTTCCTGGGACCAGGTGGAGTTGGCCAGCCCTGTGCTGTCTGATGGACTCACTGCCTGTTCCACACACACCTGTGTCCCTCGTGATGATGTCATTATCATAAGATGGGGTCTTCAAGTGGGGAGATGCACAAGCCACTGGCATCTCAGACTCTGCCCAATTCGAGATAATTTAATCAAACTCTAGTTGTGTTTCCTGGGGTCTAGAGAAAAGGAGGAAGGCGTTTCATATGACTGTTTTGGGCCCTTTCCTATTTTGCTGAACTCTGCACAGGAAACTGAGATAAGTGCTCTTTCTAAATTGACTGACATAACACACATCACACCTCCTAATTTGGGATTATTCTTCTCTATGTATTATTGAGACATCTCAGACTTTCTCTCTGACCAGTTCTGTCTTCCTAACAGGACTCACAATTCTCTCTCTACCTAGAGAGTCACTGATTTCAAACCAAAGTCAGCATCTTTCTTTGAGCTTAACATGATTATGCTTTAGAAGACCAAAACCTTATTGTGTTACGAAGAGAAATACTATAGCCAGCAATTGCCTTAGATCTTTAGACCATTAATAATAACTTCCACTGATAGAAAAAAGTTTAATGTTTCCCCAAAATTTCTTTTTTTTCACTACAGTAAGAACATAACTCCTTTGTTTAAACTCCTGACAAATTTTTAAGGGCAAAATGGACTATTACAGATGGGGAATCTCAAATCCAAAAATCCAAAATGCAAAATGCTCCAATATCCAAAACTTTTTGACCACTGGCATGATGTTCAAAGGAAGTGCTCACTGGAGCATTTTGAAATTTTGGATTTTCAGATTTGGGATGATAAACCGATACTTGTAATACAAATATTCCAAAATAAAAAATAATCAGAAATCCAAAACACTTTTGCTCTTATGCATAAGAGATACCCAAACTCTATTAACTATAGACACCAAGGTGTACAGCAGATCTCCAGAACCTCCATATCTTACATAACTGAAACTGCACACCCAAGGAACAACATCTTCCGCCCAGCCCTTGGAAATCACCATTCTGCTCTTTTATTTTTTTCTTTTTTTTTTTTTTTTTTTTTTTTTTTTTTGAGATAGAGTTTTACTCTTGTCACCCAGGCTGGAGCACAATGGTGTGATCTAGGCTCACTGCAACCTCCGCCTCCCAGGTTCAAGCAATTCTCCCTAGCCTCTTAAGTAGCTGGGATTATAGGCGTGCCACCACACCCAGGCAATTTTTGTATTTTTAGTAGAGACGGGGTTTCACCATGTTGGCCAGGCTGGTCTCGAATTCCTGACCTCAGGTGATGTGCCCACCTTACCCTCCCAAAGTGCTGGGATTACAGGCGTGAGCCACCGTGCCCAGCCTTCTACTATAACTTTTATTTACTCACTGTATCATATCAGTCACCATGACACACCTGGAAGGAACAACCTCACCTTGTAATTCTGAGACCTCAGCACCTGCGTGTTCCAGGTGAGGACCCCAAGGTCAGCCAGGCAGTCAGCCATCAGGGAAGAAACAGGAGAGGTGCCAGGGGATGTGACTCCTGGTCCTTGTCTATCCACCACCCAATGCTGCTGTTCAATTCACAATTGGGAAAGTCTCTGCTTCTTTCACGGGCAGGCAGCCTCACAGGCTCTGAGCCCTCAGACGGTCATGCATCTGTCTGTGACACACATGTCTGTCTTGGTCTTTTTTGTTGTTGTTTCTTTGTTTTGTTTGTTTTGAGAGATGGAGTCTCGCTTTGTCACCCAGGCTGGAGTGCAGTGATGCAATCGCATCTCACTGCAAGCTCTGCCTCCTGGGTTCATACCATTCTCCTGCCTCAGCCTCCCAAGTAGCTGGGACTACAGGCACCTGCCACCACGCCTGGCTAATTTTTTGTATTTTTAGGAAAGATGGGATTTCAGCATGTTAGCCAGGATGGTCTCGATCTCATGACCTCGTGATCCACCCACCTCAGCCTCCCAAAGTCCTGGGATTACAGATGTGAGCCACCGACCCAGCCCTGTCTTGGTCTTTTAAGGAGTGGGGTTGGCCAAAGAATAGGAGATGTTGATTCTGATTAAAATATGCCTGTGGAGGAATCACAGGTGCCACACAGGGCAATCTTCTCTCTGTTCTCTGCACAGCGGAGTTGTCCAAGCCCTCCATCACCAGCAACAACTCCAACCCCGTGGAGGACAAGGATGCTGTAGCCTTCACCTGTGGATCTGAGGCTCAGGACCCAACCTACCTGTGGTGGGTAAATGGTCAGAGCCTCCCGGTCAGTCCCAGGCTGCAGCTCTCCAATGGCAACAGGACCCTCACTCTACTCAGTGTCACAAGGAATGACACAGGACCCTATGAGTGTGAAATACAGAACCCAGCGAGTGTGAACTTCAGTGACCCAGTCACCCTGGATGTCCTCTGTGAGCATCTTCTGTTCCTCTGTGGCCCGGGCCACCAGCTCAAATCCACACAGCCAGAGGCCAGGCCTCTCAGTCCCTCTCAGCTCCAAGGACTCAGACCCTCACCCAGGTTGGCCATGACTTCCTGTCCCGAGCAAACCTGGGCAGACCCAGCCTTGACCAAGAATAGGAGAGGAGGGGCTGCTCCTGTCCTGGGAGGCTCAGGGTCCACAGCCTGTGATGGGAGAAACAGGTGAATGTCTCAGACCCAGATTCAGTGGATAGAGTGGGTTTCATTAGGACTTCAAGGTTGTGACTTGGCTTAGAGGGACACTGTGGCTCCTCCACAAACCAGCAGCTTCCCCTTCCCTCTGATGATATCATCTATGGCTTTATTCTCTTTGCTCCAGATGGACCAGGCATTCCCACCATTTCCCCCCCAGACTCCTATTATCACCCAGGGGCAAATCTCAACCTCTCCTGCCACGTGGCCTCTAACCCACCCACACAGTATTCCTGGTTTGTCAGTGGAATGCTCCAGCAACACACACAAAATCTCCTTATCGCCAACATCACAGTGGATAATAGTGGATCCTATGCTTGCCTCGCCCATAACTCAGCCACTGGCCTCAGTACAATCACAGTCAAGACAATCACAGTCTCTGGTAAGTGGATCCCTGGAGCACAGGCCCTAGGCCCTTGGTAGAGGCAGTCAGTTTTCTGAAAGAGCCTGGAAGCTTATTTCCCAGCCCATGTCTTGGACACAAGCAAATTCCAAACTCTACCCTGAGCCCTCTCACTCCATCTCTGCAGGACCCCTCCTCCCCTTGTTGTTCTGATTTCTCACAGCTGACCTTGGGGCCAGCCTGGAATGCTGTACAAATTTTGTTGTATCATTTACAAGTTCTGTGACCTTCCTTGACTTACTGAGGTGCTATAAGTCTCAGATGCTAACTCTGCAGCTGGGGGTGATGCTCCTCTCTCAAGGTGATGGGAAGATGAGATGAGCTGTAGGTACGTTGGTACCCACTGTGCCTGGTACATGGAATTCCCCCAAAAACAGTCAATGAACATCATCCCCACTCATCAGCATTGAGTTGATGGCGAGGGCCTGCCCTTTGTGAGTGTTACGGGATGGAAAAGGAAAAACAGAGGGAAGAGGCATGATGCGAGAAGAAGGAGGGACTAAAAGGCACAGGAGCAGGGTGAGGTGCAAGCACATCTGGGAGAATGTATGAGTTGGTGCTGCCCAGTGTGTGAAGCCCGCTGAAAATTGTGCCACTGTGGAAAGCAAGGGAATCCGTGATGAGGACAACACAACAGACCACACTCAGGCCCCGTGGCATCTCCTTCTCCCCTGACCGCACACCTTCCCCGCAAGGCCCCTGTGGTTTCCTCTGGGATAGACTTTGCCTTCTTCTTTCTGCAGAAGAAAATGCCCCAGGCCTTCCTGTGGGGGCCGTCGCCGGCATGGTGACCGGGGTCCTGGTCGGAGTGGCGCTGGTGGCCGCCTTGGTGTGTTTCCTGCTCCTTGCCAAAACTAGAAGGTACCATAGCTTTTCCCATCCTCCTCCCACCCCCTAGGCTGACTCTAGGCCAGGAGAAAGGAGATCTTGTCCTGTATTCACGACCAGGCTCTCCATGGCCTCCCAAGTCCCCAGGGATCCTTCCCTGTTATTCCACAGCTCCCACCTCGTCAGCTCCTGACCCTAGGTTGCTGCCTCGACAGCTTCCTCCTCTGTGAATTCAGCCTAGTTAAGGCCCCACCCCTGAGTGTGGCCCTAGTTCCCTCACACAGCAAAGCCACAGCTGCCTGGAGGGAGGAAGAGAAGGAGGGAGGGAGGAAGGGGGATTCTGTAATTGGTACCTCCCGCTGTTCATTGAATCCACCCACACAGTGATGGGGATTTCCTGGTTCCAGATCCTGGGCATCGTCACACAATGGGGAGTGGACCAGCCTGGACAGGCTGGGTGGGGTCAGTGCCCCCCATGGCTGATGTAGTAACCATAGGCCCTGAGGTGTGAGATGGGAGAACCTGGGCCTCACACCAGCATGTCCTGGAGCGTCCTTTGTGTCTCTTGCCAAGCGGTTGAGAGAGAGGACAAGGACACTGTCCCATTTCAGCATCACCACTCAGGACACTCAGTTCCAGGAGAATCCAAGACACTTGCAGTCCCCTCCGTGTCCTGCACAAGTGGCCCTGTTTTCCCTCTGGGGCCTTGACCTTTCCTCTCAGGCCAACCTTCATGGTCTGGTTCCTTCCTTGGGTCCTCAGTCCCTTTCCTGGGTCCCTGGGTCAATGTTCTCCTGGCCCAGCATCTGCCTGAGGGTCCTGCCCCTCTGCTCAGGACAGATGTGGCTTCCTAAAGCCTCTCCTCAGCTACCCTCTGCTGGGCTCCCCCTAACACAAACCTGAGGGAGACATGAGGTCTCCATGCCCGTCCTTGAAAATGGGGTTCCCTTCTTGTCCCCTGTTCTAACTCCAAAATTGTGGCTTTTAACCCGGTACCCTCCCAAAGGACCCTGACCTTTCCTAGAACCAGCATCCAGCATGACCTCAAGGAGCAGCAGCCCCAAGTCCTTGCCCCTGGTGAGTGTCCTCTCAGCCTAGGTGTGGCTGGGAACCCCTAGGCCAACCCCACAGTGTCCGCTCCTGCCAGTCAATCCCAGGGAGGCTCTGATCCTTTCCCGGGGGCTGCAAAGAGGATCTCATAAAACGTCAAACAGGGGGCCCCAACTGGCCGGGTCAGCCCTGACCTGTGGGCTCTGGGTCAGGGTCACCTCCCCAACCTCAGCTGCTCAGGTATCTTAGAGCTGAGGACACCCCACGCCTTCCTGGAGAGGGGGAAAGGCTCTCCTCCCACCCTGCTGCTCACTCCTGTCTCTGTTTCCAGGCCGTGGTCCCTCCCACAGCTCTGCCTTCTTGGTAAGCCTGTCCCCTCCCAGCCCCTTTCTACTGGGGTCCCAGCTGTGCAGGCTCTGGGCAGAGTGACCATCAGCCCCCGAGCACAGCACAGACCCACCTTCCCCAGAACACACAGGACAAGGCTAGCCCTGCCCTGCCCAGGAGCTCGGCCTCCCTATAGGGCCGGGACCACCCACGCCCTGTGCTGACCCCTCCCTGGGACCCTCCATCGCCTGAGGAGACCCCTGGAGTCTGGCAGGTGCAGAGTGGACACTGGGACCGTCAGTCAGGGGCCCACATTAACAAGGGTGCAGAGTGGGCCCAGCCAGGAAAAGGGTCAGGGTGCTGTGTCCACACTGGGAGGCTGAGCTCAGGGGCAGAGCTGGTCACTCCTGAGGGGAAATGACCAGAAATAGACACAGGGAAGTAAATCCTGGTCAATCAGAGACAGGAACCTTGCAGGCTTGGCCTCCATGACCCTCCATCCCTGTCCACAGATGTCCTCCCTCTCCGCTGCCCAGGCCCCCCGACCTGGCCCCAGGACAGCTGCTCCCATCTATGAGGTGAGTGTGGGCCACGGATGTTCTGGTCCCACAGGCCCCAGGGGACCCAGGATCTGTCCCGACTGGCACCGGCTGAGCTCTGAGATCTAGGAAATTGCTGTGAAAATAAGAACAGGGGGTGGTGAGCAGAAGAGGGAGGGGCCTGGGAGCAGGAACCCCCTGAGCACAGCCAGGTTCAGCCCCAGAGCAGCCCTGGCTGGGCCCAGAGCCTGGGAGACACCAGACCCTGTTCTGAGAAGGCTACAGGGGTTTAGGCCTCTTCTCTGTTTTTGCAGGAAATGCTAAAACATGACACAAATGTTTACTGCCGGATGGACCGCAAAGGAGATGTGGCTTCTTAGGTTCCTTTGGGAGCTGCTCCTGTGGGTTGATGGAGCATCCCGACCCCCCAGCCCTGGGGATGGGGAAGGACATGGAGCCTGAGCCAGAGAACCAGCTCTGAGTCCTGAAAAGACACTGGGGCCTGGGGATAGGGAGGGATGGAGGGTCCCTGTTGAATATCCGAGGACCCCGACAGGCTGCCCTGGGCTCTGGGTGGGCCAGGACAAAGGCTTCCCATCACCACAGGAAGCAGAGGCTTGCAGAGAAAGTGAATGTCACCTGGGGTCACCTGGAAAGGATCTCAATAAACAAGACCCTTCCTCTCATTGGCTCTTTTTCTGCTCATGGGAACTTTGCAAAAATTCACCTGAAACTCCATATCTATTCTCTCCTGGTCACACAGGGAAAATGTCATCTCCAACTTATTTCAACCCCAGTCTCTCTTTCCCTAGGAGGCAGAAATAGGGGGTTGGGAGTCAGAATTGGGGGGACCCTACACAGGAAAGGGCGGGATTCACAGGAGCACTGCCCAGCCAGCCGAGCTCTCGGCTGTCCTCACACTGCCCCAGGGACCTACAGTGCCTAGCCCTGGCCACTGGGTTTACTCTCTGTCCAAAAGGCCAGTGCTCAGGACATCTTTACTCATTTTAGGGGATACACAGAGGGGCTGTCAGAGTAATCAAGGGGAGGACAGACCCAGAATTTAGTCCTGGAGTAAGATCCTCCCAGACACTACCTGGGACTCTAGCCCATCATTTCCCATCGGTTCCCACTTTACCCCCTGGCATGGATCTCACTGAACAATCCTCCTCTCCACACAGGGGCTTCCAGGTCAGAGACACAGGGCTGTCTCACCTAAAGCTCACGCAGTCTCCCGTGGCAATGGGACCACCTGTCTCCTCTTCTCCTTGGCCTGCAGGGCCCTCCACTCAGGCCTCACCTGCAGCTCCACCACATACCTGGGCCAGAGGTTCTCTGTCCTTCCTGAGGGCCCCGGGGAGTGTAATGATCTCATGGAGGTTCACTCAGACCAGATGCCACCTTCCCACAATCAGGCTGGTCCCTGCACTAAAGCACAGAGCCATGGTTCCTGAGGATGTTCTGCCACTGCCCAGGGTTGTTTGCCATGAGATGGGAAAAGGAAAAACAACCTGTAAATTTACATCAGGATTTAGCTCTAAATGACTCCTTAGCCCACCTGCACACATCGTCAGATGAGACAAGGTGACATCTCTTGGGTCAGTTTCCTGTTGATGCTGTGACAAATTCCCACAGGCCAGGCAAGTTGGTGTGTGCCTTGGTCCCAACTACTCAGGAGGCTGAAGCGGGAGGATCGCTTGAGCCCAGGAGGTTGAGGCTGCAGTGAGCTCTGATCACACCACTGCATGCCGGCCTGGGCAACAGAGATGACAACTCCAGGCCGGGCGCGGTGGCTCAAGCCTGTAATCCCAGCACTTTGGGAGGCTGAGACGGGCGGATCACGAGTTCAGGAGATCGAGACCATCCTGGCTAACACGGTGAAACCCCGTCTCTACTAAAATACAAAAAAAATTAGCCGGGCGAGGTGGCGGGCGCCTGTACTCCCAGCTACTCGGGAGGCTGAGGCAGGAGAATGGCGTGAACCTGGGAGGCGGGGCTTGCAGTGAGCTGAGATCCGGCCACTGCACTCCAGCCTGGGCAACAGAGCCAGACTCCGTCTCAAAAAAAAAAAAAAAAAAGAGATGACAACTCCATTGCTAAACTTAGTGGCATAAAACAGCAACAATGTGTCCACTTGGCTGTGTTCTTCCTGGCAGCTCCAGGGAAAAGTCTGCTCCCTCACCTCTTCCAATTACTAGAGGCTGCCTGCATCCTTAACTTTGGCCCCTTCCTCCATCTTCAAAGCAAGAAGTACAGCATCTTGAAACCTCTCTGTGCTGTGCCTCCATCCTCACTGACTTCCCTGCCTCCCTCTCTCGTAAGGAAGGGACCTGTGGTTATTTTGGACCCACCTGGATAAACCGCAATAATCTCCCCATGTCATTATCCTTCATTTATCTGCTAAGTGTCTTTTACCATGTGCCGTATTCACACATCTTGGGATGAGGATGTGTGCATCTTTGCGAGGTGCTTGTTCTATCCATCACTCCTCTCAAGGCCATTTTATCGTGATTGTTCACTACAAACTACACATGGGCACCTGGATAAGGTTATCCTGACTGTGGCGTCAGTTTTTGTAGTGACATCCCCAGCACCATCCAAGTCCTGAGAGAGGGAGACGGAGGGCTCTCCATGCCCCTAGTACCTCTCCACCTTCTCCTCAGTGACAAGCTCAGATGTTAAGAATGAGAGATGTGGCCGGGTGTGATGTCTTACACCTGTAATCCCAGCACTTTGGGAGGCCGACGGGAGTGGATCACCTGAGGTCACGAGTTTGAGACCAGCCTGACCAACATGCCGAAACTCTGGCTCTACTAAAAATACAAAAATTAGCCAGGCGTGGTGGCACATGCTTGTAATCCCAGCTACTCGGGAGGCTGAGGCAGGAGAATCACTTGAACCCGGGAGGTGGAGGTTGCAGTAAGCCAAAATCATGCCACTACACTTCAACCTGGTTGACAGAGTGAGACTCCATCTCAGGAAAAAAAAAAAAAAAGAAAGGAAAAGAAAAAAGAAAAGAAAAGAAAAACAAACAATAAAAGAGATGTGACTGGAAGATCACAACTCACCAGCCCTTCAATAGTTCATGGACATCAGCACCATGGATAGTGACCCTGGAAGGGTCATCTGCAAACACTGCTGCAGGGAGCACACAGATGGGAAGAAGAAACTACCGGGAAAAGCCGCCCCGTCTGTTCTGCCTGAGAAAGACGCAATGAGGGAGAACCTGATTCTTTTATAATGTGTTTGTCGTGAGCCCTGTGCACATGACTAAATGTTAGGGTTGTTGGCAAGGGTTGTTGACACCCCTGGCAGGGCTGATTTCTGTAGCCAAAGTACGACCTTGGAGAGGCTGAGTCTGCTCCAGCTTCACAGTGAATGTCCCTACCTCTGAGACTCAAGCCATCGTCTCTGCCTACAACACAGTGGGAACTTTTCATGATTAACTTCCGACCCCAGTGCCTGACCTTGGAACCACTACCATCACCCAGCCTGGAGCACCCCTAGAGGACACCATCCTGTTCCCTGAGCTCAGCTAAGCCCCTGGAAAGCTGAGCTGCGCTGAGCCCCTAAACAATCCTCTCAGTGACTCCAGGCCAAGCCTCATGCCACATATCAGAGGCCTTTGCCATCTGCTAGTCGTTCACACACAATCCTCCTGAGGGACAAGTGGGGGCCTGAACATCTGTCTCCCAGGGTAGGGCCCAAATTCCCCAGGAGACAAAAACAGACCAGAGTCCTCCCAGTCACCCTCACCCTCCTCATTCCCACCACTTCCCACCCACAGAGACAAGTCTGGTCCTACAGACCCACCCCTGCCCTTCCCAAGAGCTCAGGTCCAGTCAGTCAGTGTCCCTGCGGGGCACACACACACACCACTCAGAGTGCTCAGTGGAAGGGTCACCCAGGTCCCCACCGAGAGTCTCCCCTGCTTTGGATGGATCAGAATCCTCATCACATCCCACATCTGGGCAGTCACCAAGGTCCTCTCTGCCCTGTCCTCACACCTACTGTCTGTCCTGGTCATCCTCGTCATCTTTTCTGAGCACAGCCACAGCTCCTAACAGGCGGGGTTAAGGCTCCTGACAGATAGAGTTAAGACATAGGACCATGATTCTGGGGGCTTCTCAGGTCTTGCCTGTTATGTGAAATTAGCATACAATTTGTATGTTTACCTCATAATTTTAATGTGCACACCCTTTGATCATGAATTAGTCACATTAAGAAGAGCCTATCCTGAACCGTGAGTTCTAAGGAGGCCTGTCCTGGTATCTGCTAAGTCCAATGACAAGCACCCAGTCTGGCACAAGCATGCTTCATAAATACATGTTGAATGAACGAGATCCTCTTACACCCTGCCCACTTCCCTCACTTATGTGACCAGACTGAAACTCCTAATGTATAGGAGAGAAAGGCAGAAACCCTGGAGACCAGTGAGAAAGCTCTTTTTTGAAACAGCAGCAAGTTCCAGGCCTCTAAAGACACTTCTGGACTTTACGTGGTGCAGAGAAAAAGACAAAACCAATATATTCCTTTCAAACACCTAAAGGGGGAGGGGCCATAGCCTAACTGAGAAAGAAAAAGACTAAGGTAGGGTACAGTTCCCCTAACCCACTTTGTTTCCAGACATCAAAAAAATACAGTTTGTGTCTTGGACACTGATATGGAAAAAAGTACAAACCAAAAATTGTGTTACTGCTAATTTCCTTGCTATGAGCAGTCACGAAATATCAATGTAAAACCATACATGCAAAGATGCACATTCAAAGAGCACTTCAGTGAACATTCACAGGATCAGTGTCAGAGGTCCGCAAACTAACTACATTTGTTTTAACTTTGAATTTTGAAATAATTGTAGATTCACAGAAACTTGAAAAAATGAAATGTACCTGGAGGCCCATCACCCTTCACTCAGCCTCCACCAATGTTCACATCTAGCATAACTATAATTCAATGTCAAAACCAGGAAAGTGACATTGGTACAATCCACAGAGCTTTTTTCATATTTCACCAGTTATACATGCGTATGTGTGCATGCATGCATGTGTGCATTTGTGTGTGGGTGTGCATGTGCAAGTGTGTGTCTCTATGCTGTGCCGCTACCACAATCACAGCACTATATGTTGCTACCCCTACATAACCACAATACCCTCCCTCTCCCATACCTACTTCTGGCAAGCACTAATCTAGTCTACATCTCTATAGTTATGTTATTTCAAGAATGTTACATAAACAGAATCATACAGTATGTACGCTTTTTTTACATACAACGGAATCGTACAGTATGTATGCTGGACAACAGAGCGAGACTCCATCTCAAAAAAATAAAAAAAATAAACTAGAGTTTGTGTGTATATGTTTGTGTACAAACTCTCTTTGTATACAACTTGAAATTTTCTATATGAAAAGTTTTTTAAAAGAGAGAAAAAAAAATATCTAGCCCAGAGGAGAGAAAAAAACATAGCCCCAAAGTTTTTGGTTTTAGTTTTGGTTTTGTGTTTTTGAGACAGGGTCTCACTCTGTTGTCCAGGCTGGAGTGCAGTAGCATGATCACCTCTTACTATAGCCTTGACTTCGTGCAGCCCAGAAGTTTTATCAGTGGTTTCTACAGAACTTTCATGATGGATCGTCTCAATCTTATACAAACTCTTCCATAGGGAAGAAAAAGAAGGACTATTTCCCCAAC